GCGAGACCACCTTGTTCCGTTCTCGTCAAAAGAGCTAAAGGGGATTCAGCTACGGAGTACTCCGTAGTAATCCAACAAGGAGCATGACCTTGCATGCCTCTCGAGCTCCGGATCAGCTTGATAGCTCAATGCGCTTAATTTCTCCCCGTTCCAATCGAAGCCAGGGCCCCATCTAAAAATATGCAGCCAGGAACCATCCGCGGGAGCTAGTAACCTCTTCCACAGCTCTTGATGCATTGCCGAGCGACTGCAAGCCATCTTCACCGACAATTGCACTGAGTATTCCTGCTTGGATGAGGTTAGCAATGCAACCATGGCGTGTTGTTCATACTATCCGCCAAAAGCGATAAGAAGCGTTGCTCAATGTTGCGATATAATGCGCTATCTATTGCCCGCGTCTCGTTCACTCCGTAGTACTAGAATGGTGGTTTGTTGGGCAAAATAGTTGCGGACGTACTCTGTGCTTGGCATTGTTAGTAGAAATTACCCTACACCGTACAGCACGTTTTCCCCCCTCTAGGTCCAGCAAATAACCTCAACATTGACCCATGGCTACTACCAAGGTGCTACCAATCGAATGATACTCCCTTATCTCCATGGTACATTTATGCAATGCAATGGGTGCACTTGTGGGCTGGTGCGTGCTGTATTCGGTCTGCCGAAGATAGGTCTGGAAACACTTGCAACAGCGCCATACATCTGGCATTGGCATATTTTTGCTGCGTTGAGGTTTTCTTCCACGGAGTAGCCTTGATATCAGCGTCGAGACACTCGAGACCTTGGGAGTTTTTACATATTTCCTGGGACTGGAACTTGTCAACTCCTCAAAAGCGCATATTCGTCTGACTGACGACTCCGACGCAACGGGAACCCTGTATGAATTCATACATAGATAATTCATGGTTTTTTTCTTTGTAATCATAATGCGGAGGCGAAGAGACGCCCGTGATTTATACCGGGGGCGGCAAGCTGGTACCTGGCAAGATGCATTTTGTCTGTTTCGGAACGCCAAATGAGAAGTTGAGAATGCATACCACCCGACCATTGCTCGCCTACCTAACCTGACCTGACCATTGTAAATTGACCTGACCTGACCACTGGTCTTACCTAATTCGTCATTCATATCCCTTGGCTAACCCTAATCCCTAACCTAACTAACCCTAACCGCTAAACTCCTAGGGGATATCCACTATGAGCTCCACTATAACTCCACTATATTCCACCCAAGATAGTAATAGCAATGGTCAGGTCAGGTCAATTACAATGGTCGGGTCATCTACACTCTCTATTTGAACGTCGACCCTAGGGCCTCTAATAGTTCTGCACAAGATGTGTCGTACGCAGTAGGCCAAATATATTTATCTGCCGCCGTCCATGGCAGGCCATCAATACATATACTCAATTGTTTTCGCCATTGGCAGCACAATCTGCCAATAATGAGTGCCACGACTTCAAGCGGGCACGGGAGAATGGGAAGATCTCGATGCAGCGTACGGTTAGTGGCCAGCCAACAATGCCAGCAGCTCAATCGAGCATATCGTCGTATCAGTAGACGCCACTGTATGTTGGTGACATGCCACGATTCTTAGTAATGGGACGAGTGCGGGAAATTGCTGCCCGCCTGTACGCTTACAAAGGCTGTACGCTTACAGAAGTATTGGGGATCAATATTGGGCTGGGAATCCGGTGTTCGACCGCAAGAATTCGACCCTGATTCGGAGAACAATGCAAATACATCAGAGACGCTTCTGGTTGGCAGCCCGAATAGATGCTAGTAATGTGATGCCTATAAACTTTTGTATATAAACGCGGGCAGGCGCGAGACAGTCGTGACACCTGTTGGACGCTGGCGAGACACATTTCTAATACGTTCGCAGTTATGGTCCTTGGTGGCTGTCGTGTGATAGTGGATGGGTTCTCCAAGGGCCGATCCTCGTGGACCTTTTTCCTAAGACCAGACGTTTCTGAGTTTCTGAGTTTCGTTTTTCTTGTTTGTTTCAGCTAGGTGCTGCTACTATTAGAATCTGCATCTCCACTGTTTCGGCAACCAAGTTGATCTTCCGCCCCTTGTTGGCTGTCAACTGCGTCGCGGTGGCGCGATAATGGCCCTAAGGCTGCGGGAGTTACTCAGCTGAGCTGAAGGGAATGATACATGTGCATAGAGTATACTACTACGGGCATGTTGATAAGTTTGGGGTCCAGCCTTGATGGGCTTTCCTTGTCATTTAAAGTTGGTTGTGATGCCTGTATGTAGGTCCTAAGTAATAGCCAGCTTGCCGGGGAACGACGCGGGAACAGCGGGAACAGACCTAAGATGTGGGAGACGTGAACAAACATCCCAAAACAGGTTTGACAGGGTAGGTGCAGGCGGGTTCACAATGCCTTCATCTCCAGCTTTTGGCGGAGATGGGGCTGGCGTGAGGTGGTGCGAGGCGATGCAACCTACTTGGCCCGTAGGGCTTGGGGATTTTGGTAGTACTGGTGTTTTAATACTACTTGATATAACGAGATGCTTGGATGTCAGGTTTAGTGCCGGTTAGCGCTGGGGCCTGGAGCAATCGGTGGGAGCATTGACCACTCGAAGATTTGACCCATTAGTCGATTTTGGGATCTAGATGTCTGGTGTTGTGGTCCGTAGATGCATCTGGATCCGTTGACCTCGGATTCCTAAACGACGACAAGACACAAAAAAAACGCTATTAATCGGACCCCAATAATTGTTTGGGAATTGCTTGGGTAGACGTCTCGGATTTGGCCACGATGCAATGTCCAATGATGCACAAATCCATGAGTAATGTACTACTCCATATCCAGGCCTTGGTTGCACCCTAATAAGCCCGGTGGAATCTCCCAACATTGAGCCCTGCGCACGACCAACAGGGCATCGTCTCAATCGTGCCACGTCTCCATTGCTTGATTGTCTGGATAGGGCCCAGGAGATAAGACAGACGGGTTGGTTGGACATGCAACCCGTGTGCTATGGCCGTCGTCTGTCTTATCTGTTACTCAGCGTCGTCACCTCTTGTGCATGAACACGGCATCTGTCCTCGTACATATCTAAACCACGGTCAATGAATGATACGTTGATAGGATATTACCGCTCAATGATTGTCAGATGGAGCAAGTACAAAACACTTACTACAGCATTGATAGCTGCCAACATTGAAGCGCCGTTGGATCGCTAAATAAGGCGAGCGAGTGTGGTTGACAGACCCGGCATGCACCATCGGCACCCAAACCCACCATCATCAGCTCGTAGAAATAGCAAGACACAACAGCGTCAGGCAGGGAAAAGGCGACGACAGGGCTCTATCAGGGATGTTGCCAGGGCGTAGCAAGTCTGGGCTGGGATGGAAACAAATGTGGAAGCGGATGGCCACGACAAACGAGAAAGCAGCACTTGAGGCAGGGAAGATCAGTCATGGTGGAACCACGCGGCCGCTCCCCGTCCCTCCTCCCGTGGCGTCAAACAAACAGGGCCCACCGCACGGCACGAGTGGCTAGCAATGCATTGATGGTGCTGTGTGCCTGGGGTGTTTGCCTTTATTGTTCAGCCACAGCCGTCTGGTTCCTGTGTGAAAATTTTCGCAAGTTCCTGGCCTGGCAAATTGGAGGCCCCATCCCATACGAACCCAGCAGACAGGAGTCAGAGGACTGCGTATTGTAAATAGTGGACAAGAGTACGTAATGCGGTATGGGGACACATTCGGCCTCGTATACGGCCGTACTGACATATGTATGTATGTACCTACCTAGGCACTTAAGTAGGTATGCATTATAATTGTTACGGAATGCTTGGAAGAAATCCATCAATTTCCATAGGAAGGCCTCCTGGCCGAGCTCGTCGCCCCTTTAATTCCTCTGCACGGAGTACACATGCATGCGCAGAGTATTTGGCCATCCGACCAATCAGCTCTCGTATTTGCTCGTCCAAGGCCTCCAGATCTTTGTTCCTGTTGAACAATTCAAATTGGTCCAAGAGAAGCAGACCAAAGTAATACTAGGCGCAACGGGAACCAAACACTTCTTGGACACATTTTTTTTTTGGGCTTCTGCTGCAGTCGGTTTTCTTGCCGTTCCCATTCACAAGTCCCACCTCGTCTTGGCGCCCTTCACTTTCGCTGTCTTTTCGCTGTCTCGCGCCGCATCCGCATTCGGCCGTTTCTGGGGTCACGGCACCAACATGGTGAGTTTTTGCTGTGGTCAAAGTTTCGAGGTAACATTGCACGGCCCATTTGAGGAAAACACTCCAAGTCTGCGTGTTCGGAGAGCAGAGCATTACGAGCACACTCAGCAATTCTCGTACCTCGAGCCTTGGAGCCTTCACAACCTCACTCACTCTCTCCTGTACCACCAAACCCGGAAGCCTGCGCAGTTTTGATGACGGCGTGAGCTACATGTTGGCGCTGTTTGTTGCTCTTCCAGGCTGAGCACTGTTTTGCTGTTTGGCCTTTGGAGGCGGATTGTCTTGTCTGTTTGCAGGCATTTTGTTTTCCCCATCTCTAATACTTCGCTTCGCGTCGCATCTCATCGCATCTCATCGCATCGCATCACCACATCACAGATCACAGCGCATCCTACACAAACATCTCTGTTGCCTTTTGGAGCCCAACTCGCTGCTCACGACGTTGCTCACTCATTGACTTCGGGTGCTGCCAGCCTCCCAGCACGTTCTCGCCGGCTGGGAGAGGAATGACGACCGACTTTGGCCTGCTTTGGCTGCTGCAAGTGCTTGTGTTGTGAACGTGTTGGCCGTCACGAGACAGGCCGTGATAAACCTCTTACGCCACACTCTGCGCCTTGCATTGGCATCGTCACGCACGACAGTGCTCGTACTTCCCAACAGACGCACCGCCGAGGACTAATTTTATATCTTGGGTTACAACACAATACGCATAAACGTCTGCTCCCACGGGAACTACGAGTCGTCACGTCCCTTTTTTCCTTCCCCGTTTTCCTCCCTGCGCCTGGCACTCAGCCAAGGCGCAAACAGCATCGCCATGACTGGTCCTGTCACCAACCATGACGACACGACATTGCAGATCTCGCCTCCGGCCACGGCAAGTCCCTCATCAGAGCCATCACCGCCAGCTCGACCCGTTGCAAATCGAGCGGCAACGCCCCTAGGTCTTTTTCTCGACAGCTCTGGCTTCAGCAGACCAAGTACTAGCACCAAGGGTCCAACAATTGCTGGCGGCGCTGGCGCTGGCATGGGACCGACTGGGCACAGGGCCGATCTGTCACCCGCTGGGACGCCAGACCTGGCTGCGGTCTCGCCCGGCCCTGCACATACCAGCGCCGTCGCTGGTGTTGTTGATTCAGTGCCATGTGCAGACCAGGAACAACAGCAAAAGCGCCCCGATCCCAGCCTCGAAACCATCGTCAGTTCTGATCCTGCCTCTGGCTCTGAGTTTGGCTCTGGCTCTGGCTTTGCCTTGCCAACCTCTCCATCTACTCTCGGCTCCTCGCTCCACAGCGTCCACAGCCCCAGTGCACCCGCCAGACCTCACCCAATCCGGGCCCCGTCCCCGGCCGACCCTCGAGACTCGGTCAGCCAAATGACAAAGTCAACGCCGCCCCCCGATCGCGATGCAGAACTTGGCTCTTCTGCCGAAGTCGTTGATGAACGTCCACTTCGTACCGCAAGCGTTAGGGCAGACACGCGCATGGTTCATCCAAAGCCAATAGCCCGCCCGCCGGCCATGAGCCACGGCGTTCCTGACAAGTTGATCCGATCCGGATCTGCTGCAGGGAACATAGCCCAACTCGAAGCCACTGCTGAGCGGCTGTCCATGACGAGTTCCATCGACGACGCTATCCGCGACCTGCATGGCGAGTTGAAGAGAAGTGACAGCAGACGGTCAGCGAAGCTCGCACTGGCCACGATGGCCTCGGTCGACGAGAATACCACTTCTCCTGCTAGCCAGCTCACTCGACACCTGTCTTCGACCTCCTCCATCGTCTCCACTAATAACGCTGCGAGACACGGTGGCTATTCCCCTGCTGGCTTCGTCTTGTCACCAAACACATCGCTTACGAGTCGCCTTCGATCCGGCTCCGGCAACTCGTCCGGAAGACAAGATGCAACCCACGAGACAATACTTTCTAGACATGGCCCTGGAAAGTCGTCCGTCCGAAGTGTTCGGTCCACCAAGCTGTCACTTGCCGAAATTTCCGAGTCGGAGCCAATATCTCTGAATCAAAAAGCCTTTGACGAAGCTGATGCCGCCCCGCCACTTGAAGAGCAGAGTGCCGAGAGTCTCCAATTGCCAGAGGAAACCATCGTGGGCACGTCCGGCACCGATGCGTTTCATCAGCTGCGTGAGGACATCTTGGGACCCCTACCTGACCCTCAGCATGCTCTCATGCATACGCTGCCCCCAGCACCACTGGGTCCAGAAGAGTACCAGCACGAGCAACGCCCAGAGAGCGTCCACTCGAACAACACTTTCGAGCAAGCTCGCGATGCTTTCATCGACTTTGACGGTGTGCACTGTGAGCCTCAAAACGAGGAAGATTTGTACGCGCCACCGGAAATGGAGCCGGATTTGCCGACTCCTCGCCCTATACCCATCTCGATGCCTCGGCCGACCTCCTATATCGACCCTTCAACCGGCCAGAAGATGCTATACTACCCTGCACGCGTGCCTGCTATGCTCAACCTGCCTCCTAAGCTGTCTTCCAAGCCCAAGGCTGCTACTAGGAACCAGAGACGGTCCCAGGTTCTCAGCATGATGATGGACGCTCCTACTACTCAGGACATCTCAGCATCTCCCAAACGGAAGCGGCAGTCCACATTTAGCGATCTGAAGGGCATATCCTCCGCCGCACAGGAGGCTCCGGCTCGGGATTCATGGCTACCGGACCCCATTGCTCATCACCGAGACTCTTTTGCTGCGCTGTCCTCATTCGACCCTTTCGATGGCAGTGAAGCAAAGTCTTTGCACGCAGCCGCCGAAGACTCGCCACCCACTCCGCCGCCAGAGCAAGCGGCACACTGTGATGTGGTGCCAGAGCCCTTGCGCCGCCCCGAACGATTGTCAAAAGCGCTCAAGGAGAACCGAAAGTCAAAGGCATCCATGCTTGACACGTTGCCACCACAGCTTAGAGCTAGCGCTTTCTTTGATCTTCCGCCTGTCACCCATGAAGTGGAGATAAAAGACGGCTCCGCCATGGCCACCCTTGACAGCATTCTTGACGCCTCTACCAGTGCACCTGTTAGTGCTTTCACAGACCATGTCTATGCTGGCAAGCTTGGATCCGAAGTGTATGGAAAGACAAAGAAGAAGACGGCTCGTCAATCTGTTGCCACTTTAAACGGGCTTGCCCCAGAACCTCAGGCGAAGAAGAGATCATCTATGATGTGGCTCGGAAAAAGAAACTCTAGCCACAATAGCGACGAACAGAAACGGCCGTACAGCAGCAGCATAGCGGCTACGACACCAGAGGCAGATGGATCTCAAGATGGACGACATACGCCGGGCAGCGCCGACAGTGCCAATGGGGATATTGAAGTTGATGCCGACAAGGGTGACAATGAGGACGGGGATGAGGAAGGGGGCGAGACAGCGGCTGCCGAGGATGCCTACCTCGGTCCTCCTACAACGCTGCTTGCTGAACTGCAGTTGCGCAAACTTGAACAAAAGCAGCGAGTGAGAAACATGGGCAAAGGTCTTCCTAACGGCATGTATGCTACGCTTTTGGACATGGACACAGTGGCAGAGGCTCAGAGGAAGAACCGTCAGAACAAGAGAGTCAATCTGGCTTGGGAAGACCCAGGCGCAAATTTAGACCAGAACGGATCCGATGACGAAGATGTGCCTCTGGCCATTCTTGCCGCGATGCAACGCGGGGCCAAGAATTTGGCAGATTTGGATCGGCCCATGGGTCTGATGGAACGCCGAGAACAGGAGGACAACGAACCTTTGAGCCATCGCCGAGCTCGTCTACAGGGACTAGATGCGCCACCACCTGTGTTGAACCAACGCCACAGTGTTATGTCTTTATCTGCCGCCCAAGCCCTGGGGGTCCCGTCATCAACCCCCCGAGTGGAAGTCGTGCCGAGCCCTGAGCCACAAGTGGAGGAGTTGGAAGAAGAAACGCTAGGTGACAGGCGTCGCAGACTTGCAGCCAAGGATGGGGAACTACCAAAGGCTCGCCCAGTCAGCCGCGCTTTTTCGGCCGAGCTACTGAGCCAGTTTGGAGATGCAGAGGATGAAACAAACGAATCAAAGAGCAAGAAGGGTGATAAAAAGGAGGCACAAGGTGCGGGCGCATCTGGTGAAGAAGAGACCCTAGGACAACGCCGCCGACGACTGCAGGCAGAACGCGAAGCTCGGCAGCGAGAGATCAATTACGGCAACTTGGCGGGCGACCAGCCAGCCCAGGAACCTCGACGGCGACTCAGCCTTGCCAATGTGCTAGCTGCCCATCCCAAGAGGGAATCAGACAGACGAGCACAAGAGGAGAGCCTGCGAGCCGAGGAACAAAGACGCGCCGCCCAAGAACGGGACGCCAAGATGGCAGCCATGAGAATGCAGATGCCCTCTTCACTGTCCCAGTCAGGCCTCGAACGATCTGGTGGGTTCCTAGGCGGTGCCTTCAATGACGGCACGGGCGGCCATGGGCCTAAAGCAGCTTTGTCTAGCACTGCTGTCAACACTCAGGGCATCTTACCTAGCAAGCGATCGAGTGTGATGACAAGTTACGGGCCCGGATACGGAGCCCCAATCGGCCAGCCTGGGTACGGTGTAATGAATGGCTATGGGCAAGGCTATGGGGGGATGAACTCTATGGGTTCCTTTAATGGCCGGCCTGCAACGCAAATGTATGGCACTGGCATGATGTCTATGCCTATGAACAACGGGTCCATGGACCGTGTCGAACAATGGCGATACGACGTCCGACCATGAAGCTCATCAACGGCAGTTGCCCTAGAACGAGCTATGTGT